TGTGTTCACCCATATTCTACATGGTAGGACACTGTCCCAGGGTGGGGTGTGTGTTCACCCATATTCTACATGGTAGGGCACACTGTCCCAGAGTGGGGTGTGCGTTCACCCATATTCTACATAGTAGGACACACTGTCCCAGGGTGGGGGTGTGTGTTCACCCATATTCTACATGGTAGGATACACTGTCCCAGGGTGGGGTGTGTGTTCACCCGTATTCTACATGGTAGGATACACTGTCCCAGGGTGGGGTGTGTGTTCACCCGTATTCTACATGGTAGGGCACACTGTCCCAGGGTGGGGTGTGTGTTCACCCACACTCTACATGGTAGGGCACACTGTCCCAGGGTGGGGTGTGTGTTCACCCATACACACTGCTACTGGACACTGCTCTAATTTATTGCCGCATTCTGAAAACTCACTTTACCTATACCATTTCATATTGGAATCTGGTTAGCTGATTTCAGACTCTACTAGTGATCATCAAACTATTAAATAGTTAACCAATGCTGGGAGCAGAAGAAAAAGTTGTTTTTAAAAAAATAGGCAAAATAAATAAATAAAAATAACGAAAGGAAAGAAAAAAACCTGTTATAAGGCTGGATGCCAGAGAGCCATTGAGACTTTTCCAGTACTGTCAAAGTGAACATGAAGTTTTCTGTTTAGCTCACAGTACCAGGAAACAGGTGACCGACCAGCTTCGGGCAATCAAGGCCACCTGCCACTGCTAGTTCCCCTATAACTCTGTCAGATACAGAACAGAACTTCCTAGCCTTCACTCTGTTATCAGTTTGAATTTCATTTTTATGGGGGAGAGGAATTAAGATGCTAATGGCATGTGATGAGAACGAGCCTGCTTAGTTGGAAGACAAGATCAAGGCAGAGGACGCACTGGAACCACAGTTGACAGAGGTCAGTCAAGAATTTCCTTCTGTTCCGTGTGTGTGTGTGTGTGTGTGTGTGTGTGTGTGTGTGTGTGTGTGTGTGTGTATGACTGATAAGGAGTTAGTGAGGCAGGGGAGCCCTACAATCAATTATGAAATTCTGCACCAGGCACTTGGGTACAAAATTTAGACATCTGGACACGAGAAGCATACTAGAGTTCTCAATCTGGTGGATCATCTCTGACTGCGAACAGCGCAAAGGGGCCGTGGGCACAGCTTTCCAAAGGCTTGCACACAAGAAGGACACAACCTTACCAACACACACACACACACACACACACACACACAGCATCCTAAAGGAAAAATGTGTAGGGCGAGGCCAAGCTCATGCCGGCACCTCTGTGCATCATAGGTATGGCCGTGGGGTCTGTGTAACCATCTCCTCCATCAAACGAACGTAAGCTGAATGAAGAACATGGTGATCTTACAGCCAATTAACAAAGGCTTTATGTGGGATAGGAACGCTCTAATCTCAGCAGACTCTAACGAAGGCCAAAATGATCGCCAACGGACAGAAGGAGATCATTCAATATCAAACTAAGGTAACCAGCAATTAGGAAGCTGCCCCTGTAAAAACAGGAAGGCATGATGAGTGATAAGTGGCCTAGCGACCTAGTAAAGGAAGTAATTAAGACTGAGTGAAGAAAATTAAAACTGATTTGACGAACTGCCAGGAAATCCCTCATACAGACACCCACGGCCAAAGGGAATCCACATAGAGAACCCCAAACCAAGTCCAGGATGCAATAGCCGTTCAAGTACAGACACACACCAAAAAAATGACACACAGCTAACACAGAGTCTCAGGGGTACTCCAAGCCAAGGGAGAGCTGCAGTGTTGACCTGTGCACACGTCCACTCAGAGACCGCCTAGGACCTAGCTTAGTCTAAGCGGCATGTAATCTGAGTACCATCTAGGGGCTGGCAAGGAGAGAAGAATGCCCAGGTGTTTACTCGTTTTCTGTTGGTTTGGTTTTTTTCAAGACAGGGTTTCTCTGTGTAGCCCTGGCTGTCCTGGAACTCACTCTACAGACCAGGTCTGCCTCAGACTCAGAGATCCCCCTGCCTCTGCCTCCTGGATGCTGGGATTAAAGGTGTGAGTCCATCACTGACTGGTCTAAGTGTTTACTCTTTAAAAATTTATTCAGCCAGTTGAGTTATTAGGTCATCCTCAAACGGCCTGCATACCTGTGACACTCATATGTACAGGAAAGCTACACGTAAGCTGATGTTAGGGCTGGATGCAGACTGACTGAGTGTGCATTGAGATGCCCCAGCAGTCTCTGGGGTCGGAGGCCAACAGATCATCTAGATTATGGGCTGCCAGTTTAGTAAGAGCTAGAATCCCCTAGGAGACAATCGCAGGCATGACTGGGTTAATTGAGTTGGGAAGGTCCACCCTACAGGAGGGTGGCTGCATCCTCTGAATGTGAGCATTCATGACGGACCATCCCCTCGGGCTGTGAGCTGAAATAACCCCCTTCTCCACTGGGTGGCTTTGTTAGAGGATTTCCTAGCAGTGGCAACCAGAAAAGTAACTACCACTGGGACTCTTCATCTTTCCCAGCCAACGCGGCCAGCGCTGCCAATAGGAGTCCGGATACTGAGAGCTGGTTTAGCTGACATCACCAGCCATGCAGCAGGGCTTTCCAGAGGGAAGCTCAGGAAATGGTACCAAGTGGTTTGGCCCTGAGAACCTCCTCCATCAGCGCAGTATGGCCACAGCCTCCAAGCATGGGGGCTACGAACTGTATGGAAGTAATGGTGGCCACAAAACCCAACCCCAATCAAAACAAAGCTCGCTCGCT